TTCTGCCAACAAATATACCTTAGGGTCTAACAGAAAACTTCAGGAATGACAGAGGCCTTAACTGTAAACTGACATCATGAGTTTATGCTGTATTTTCATGCACAAGAGTTTTCACAGCCTGAGAATTTCCCACCCAGCTGGCACACTGCTGTGTGGTCATCCGGCTGAGTCTCTGCTTCCACTGTTGGGGTTTGGATGACCGAGTGACCCAAAAGGGAGGCAGACAGAGCAGATTGTCCCTGCTCCTGCCAGCTGTGGGGTAGAAGGGGAATCCAGGATTCCATAATTACATGCAAGGAAAACTCATGGCGTTCATTTCATAGTCTCTTTAATTTTGCTTGGCCAGGTGCACTGTGGGAACTGATAAGGTAGAGAGTGGGTCATATGACATGTCCATTTTATTGATTATATTTCCTTAGAATGCGGATCAAAGAATTTTCCCGAAACTGATGGGAGTCACTTTCAGAATCCTTGGTTCCCAATTCCCTGTGGGTCTGGAGTTTCATGTGCTGGTAGGAAATCTATGTTCTCTTCATCAAATTGCATCATCATGGTGCTATCAGACATTCTTCCTGGTGTCACCCCAAGTAGACGTAATGCTTTGGGACCATAAGCACTAAATAGATTTGGGATCAACTGAGGACTCTTCCATGCCTGTCAGAGCAGGGGTGTTTTGGCTGCAAGTTGGTTCCTGATGGGTGAGAAGGGGTGTCTCAGCCTTGCCTAAAAGGATGTCTCTTTTCTTAGTGTTTCCACAGCACCTGTGCCCTTCAAGTTTCAGCAGGATGAGCACCCAGTCCCCACACACACTACAGAAACTGGCAATTCAGAGCTTGCTGAGGGACAAGGCCTTGGCCATGGAGGCCGTGGAATATCTGCCAGGGGCGCTCTTCCCACCAGTGTTCATGGAGGCCTTCACTGGGGGACACACTGAGGTCCTGAAGGCCATGTTGCTGGCCTGGCCCTTTCCCTGCCTACCCCTAGGATCCCTGATGGAGATGAGGACACCAGGTTCTTTGGACACTCAGAAGAATGTTCACCAGATGAAGGAAAGAATGTTTCAAGCTGTGCTGGAAGGGATTCACATGCTGCTGAGCCAGAAGGTTTGCTCCAGGTGAGTGTGACCCAGGTTCCCTGGAGGGAGGCCCTGGGATTCCAGGAAGGGACAGAAAGTGTCAGGAGAGTGGGGTCTCAAGGATGAAGCAGAAGCTTCTGATGGGGACTGCCAGAGAATCAGAGAAGCCTGAGGCATTGCGGGGCCACTTGGGTGTGCACTGCTAGATGGGGAGGTTAGCTGGTGGTGGAGGCTGCAGTGATAGGAGCAAGAAGTTCCTGAATCCTCCCACAGGCACTGGGAGTCACAATATTGCTGTAACCAAGGGGAAAGGAGAAACAGAAAACTGCAGCATAGAAAGAGGGAGAAGATAGCAACAGACCTCAGAGATGAGGAAGGCACAGGAGGAAAGTGGCTCCGGGCAGAATTCTCAGATTCTTTACTTGTTCACCCGCAGGAAGTTCAAATTGCAAGTGCTCGATATGCGGGCTGTGCACCAGAACTTCTGGACAGTCTGTGCTGAAAACAAGTTGCAAGCCTGCTCCTCAGAAACCATGAAGAGGAGAAAAACAAGGAAGAGTCTGCCAAGAGTGGCAAAAAAGCAGCCCCTCAAGGTGATTGTAGATCTGTGGATCATGAATGAGTGGCTGGATCCAGTGGATAGCTACCTCCTCAAGTGGGTCCAGGAGATGGAAAACCGGGTGCACCTGCAGTGTCCGAAGATGTGTATCACGGGCCTGTGCACCGAACGGGTCACAAAGATCCTCAAAAAGCTGAATCTTTATTCTGTGCGGGAGATGGATGTGCTTTTCTCCTGGACAATGTTTTCCTTGGCTCATTTTGCCCCTTTTCTGGGACAGATGAGAAATCTTCACAAAGTGTTTATTTCTCACGTCTTTGTGCCTGCCACCATTTCCCCAGAAATGAGAGAGAAGTTGTTCACCAAAATCACCTCTCAATTTCGTAAGCTTCACTGTTTACAAGAGATTTATATGGACTCCGTTGAGTTCCTTGAAGGCCATTTGGACCAGGTGCTCAGGTAAGATGTG